ACGGAACTGGATTCAATCTCTGTCACTGCCTCAGAGCTCCTGTATGATTCTAGGCAAGTCGCACCAAATTGTTCAAAACTGGTTACTAATTACATCCTCTTCATTTTCTGGATGTCTCGTTTGGTATTTACCCTGTGAGTTTGATGTGCAGAAGCACAGAGCAGCAGGAGTTCTTCTCTCAACATATTAAGTGTCACATAATGCACTCTGAAAAATTTTGTCCAAGCATCTCATGTTGGACACCCAAGATTAGATGACACTTTGGACCTTAGTCTCTGTAAAATGGGGAAAATACTATCCCTTCATTTCACAAGGATTTTGGAAAATGAATCTATCAATAACTGTGAAACATTCAGATACTCTAATGATGAATACCCTGGAAAAACCTAGGAGGACATTAAGAATCTGTCTTTATGGAGGGAGGTAGATAGTGCATGCTAGGGCCTGAAGTTACATGAGCAACAAGAATAAAGCAAAATATTAAATGGCTGCTTTATAAAGTAATCACTGGCCATATGGTGTACTGACTGGCAGATGGGTTTTGTGGAAAATGTATGTGATGATATAATTGAAGACTCTGGGTATATATGCATAGATCTAGGAATTTGCAAAGGGGGTGCAGATGAAACATCTCTTTCTCTAGTTAAAGAGAAGCTAGAAGCTTTACTAATATGCTAAGGGCCTAGGATTATGTTATTCAGTTTAAGATCAAAGAAAAAACAAATATAACTTTATTGGAATGTGGACTAATTTGCTACATTATATATAAAGTTAAAAATACATGACCAGCTAGATGTGAAATGGTCAAAATAGTCAAAGGATATTGCTTCATTAGTCCTGTTGTTATTACAGTTAAATGTATATCTTCCATACAAATTCACAAAACAAATCTAGTTTTCTTGAGCATCTTAACAGTGCCTCCAATACTTCAGTGTCAGTCATGGTGTACACCTGATTTAATATTACTAGACCTGAGTTAAAGTAGTTAGCCTGAACTAAAAACAGTCTTCAGGGCTGTGAAATAGAAAAGAGTCATTACCAGAAAAAAACTTACACCAAAACTGCATAAAAAAGGATAATTTGAAAAGTGGAACTACCCCTCGGAGGAGCTGCCTGCAGCTCTGCCCTGTGATCTACTTCAGGGATCCATTCGCTGCCCTGGCTGGGCAGTACCTGCCCCTGCTCCATTCCCACCCTCACCATGGCGCCTCAATCTGCCCCCCGATGCCCCTTCCCTCCCCACAGACTTACTGGCAGGATGCTGCTCTCCAAGCTGCCTGGCTGCATTCCTGGCTGCGTGCATGCTGAAGCTGCATGTAGCATTTATCTGTGACATCGGCTACACCGGCCAAAAAAATCCGACTGCCAATAATGTTAATTTTCCTTTTATTGGTGACAATTTGATGTGCCACTGATGTTTTGGTACACCTCTAATCACATGGACATCAAATTTCTGGGAAATGTGCAGTCGCAGAAACCTTCCTGAGAGTGACTGAACAGACAGCCCTTCCAGCCTGCAGATACCCCTTCTCTCCCGCTACCAAGACTGTATGCTGTTCTTTTCTACTGGAAGAGCAGTTTGTCCTGCTAGAAACCTAACTCCTGTACATGGTCTTAGATAAGCTTTCAGATGCAGTGAAATTAACTTGTCTAAGTCTATCCCAACCGTGCAGTTGGTCCAGTGAAAGATAGCACCCACAGAAAGCCTTGCTTCATGCATATTTCCTGGACCATCTATAGTCAGTGATTGTAAAGATCTAGAACTCAAAAACAAGTTTTTTTGTCATTTTTTGTCACTCTGCAGAAAACAATTGTGTGTCACTTCAATGAATTCACTGACACAAACAAATAACTGAAATAAATCAGAGAAGCATGCAAAACCTATTCCTTTGATTCAATAAATAATACAGGCCTCTAGCACTGATACAGGAAGAAAGCCTCTGATACACTGGTATGATGAAGATAAAATGTTATGTTCTTTCAGGTGCAACCAGCAAACAAATACTCATTCACACACTACAAACATAACAATTGTTAATCATTTCGCTTTATCACTGTATATTTACTTCAGAAATAGCCTTTGCAGGAAAATTCAAGGGGACTGAAAATGGTAAACATCTTGATGGGGCAATGATAAGCTATATTTCAGCTATAGCTAACCAAAAATGACAGAGGTCAGCATTTAGATCATGGTAACTATTTTCATGTCTGGGAACCAAAAAGACTAATTTTCTCCAAACCATTTCAGATATTTTCTCATTAGTTTTCAGAGTAAGTATGGAAATTTGCAAGCAAAACCAATTTTGTTAGTTGGTTACAATTACAGGCTTATAATGGAATTATTTTTGCAACCTTAATTACAAAGAAACAACAGTATTCCTAAAAATGTGATCAAGAGGGTACTCGTATCAAATCTGCTTCCTAAGAAACTGAGACATAACTTCAATTCCTCCTCTTAAGAGAGGTGCAGTGGGAATCTGAATCAATACCGTGTGGCTACAAAGATGGTTGAATAGCATTTCTCATCTGTACCTGAAAGATCCCCCAATTTCAGACTCTCCTTGAAGGAAGCCTGATTTCTAGATCTGTTTTTCTGGCAAAGTGTAGTTTGATGTTCAATCACTATCTAAAAAGAAGCTGTTATTAAATTCACTAGGCTAATCACAGAGTAGTATTTAAGGCAGAGGTATCAAACTCATCTGGGTTGGCAAGCTGGACAACCCACCTTTTGTGGCAGCATTAACCCCCATATACTGGCTGCTAGGTCTGTCGTCACCACTGAAAGATGTCTGCAGCAGTGATCTTAAACCAGAAATTTAGCAGCGAGGGTGAGCAGCACCCAGTGGTTTAATGCCACTGCCAAAAGGCATCCCCAATGGGGATCTCAACTCCAAAATTCTGAGCTAGGGTGAGAGGCAGTGCCATTAATCCTGTAGATGCTGGCTTGCCCTACAGTGCCATTAATCCCGTAGATGTGGCAGCTGCAAGGGTACGTGACACTGCCACTCTCTCTGTTGCAGAATTTCTGGCCCCACAGGCTGGATCCAGAAGTGCGTTTCTGGGCTCAGAGAAACACCATGGCATGGGTTTTTGACACCCTTGATTAAACAAAGTAATTCAGCTTAACAAAATAATTTTCCGTTTAGAGATTTCTACTCTGTAACACGTCCTCTAGTAATAGATACATTCCAGTACTGAATAACAAGCATTATAAGTATCTCTGGGAAAAATGTCCCCTGTGCATCATCTCACGAAGCCAATCAACTTGCCTAATATTTTATCCTCTTCTTGAAGAGACATTTTAAATCCCATATTCATAAAGTGCCATGAATCATTTAATTGATAGCTTTATATTGGGGCTACCATAACAAATGAAAAAGTTATTAAATCCATATGGCTTATACTACCTTTGCAGATAGCTAACTTTAAGGAAAGATTATCACACCCACATGGCCTGTGAAGACGCACATGACCTTGAGCCAATATTGCTTCTCAAAAATTAAGAAATACACATCTCACCTAAGAAGTATGAGCAACCATCTTGTTTCATCTTCAAAACAGAATGAGCAGCAGTATCAGGATGTGTCTGGGCACCCTGGGTAAAGCCGAAGCAGGGACTTCTGGTTGTTGCCATGTTGCAGCCTCTTTTTTTCACTCCCTCTCCTCCTCTGCACCCAAATTGACACCGGAGGCAATTGCCCCTTTTACCCACCCCCCTAGTTATGCCATTGAGAATGAGAAGGTTTGGGGAAAAGAAAGACACTAGGCAAACTGCTATTTCTGCTATTCCAGGGTTTATCTAAACTTCAAATATACCTATTTTCCTATTACTTTCAGAGGTCCACCTATTATTTGTAATTCTTATTTATATTTTTCAATGTCTCATTAAACTACATACTAGTATCTTCCATAAATGGGTCTTTTAAACTAAGCACATTGGTCCAGTGAAAAGCAGGAAGCTGGGGGGAATTCCTTTCACAGGGGTGCCTTCTTTCTTATTCCCTGACTCAGCCTGGCTGGATTCCAGAACCAATAGTGTACCACTATCTAGTGGCTTCAAGAAGATTACAGGTAAAGAAGCAAAACTTAAATGAATGTAGCACCTTTGAATCAGTTTGTGTGTGCAAGAGTATAACAAATCAATAATAGCCTGGAAAGTCACAGCTGTAGACCAAATTTTAGCTGGAAAAAAACCAAAATGATTTTCTTCATCCAGCCCAGCTTTTTCATATTAATTGGCAATTTCATACTCTGAGAGTATATTCTACAGGCCTTTCCACTTAGAGTCATGCTTTGAAATAGAACTCTATAGGACATTACTCAGTAATGCAGAAGTTTCTGCTAAAGACTGAAGATAGTAAAGGAAGCAATGGTACAAACACTCTCTCAACTATATATTATAATGGAAGTTTTAACCACAGAGCTAGACCAACCTCAGATATATTTTTCAGGTTAACTGCCAATATTCAGCCCTCTTCAAATATTTTCACTGGAAATACTACCCGGTCTCAAAACTGAAGCTCTTTATTCATCCCACAATTTCCTTCTTACTTCTCAGCTTTCAGCTCTTTTTGCTCCCTCACAGTTCTTTGCACAGGATTTTAGTTGTTCATGGCTTTTTCTATTGTGTTGCTAGCAACACTGGGAAGAGGATATACGGGCTCCTGTCAGAGCTAGTAAATCTCTCTTTTGTTTGACTGAGATAGAAATGCTTACGCATCATTACCTATTATCATAAGCCAGTCACTGAGAAAGTTACCTCACCAGTATCCACAGCATCGTTTTACTCGATGAACCACAAAGTAGTAAGACTCTAAATTATAATAAAACACTGCTCACCTCTTCACGAACCTAAAAAGATGAATGAGATGGTGCTGATGGGAATATCTGTGCTACCAGAAGTATAACAGGCCATAATCAATTTTGAAGTAGCTTATCAGGGATGGATAGTAAAATGTCACAGATGGTTCCCAGAACTAAAGCTCAGCATTTCAACATACCCATTACTGAGACATCATATTCTATCAGCAGAGTTGCCTCCTGTCCACACTGTTTCAGAATACTCATGGCTTCCGCATGTGACGTTCCAAGGAGTCGAATTCCATCAACACTAAGCAACCTGTCACCAGGTTTGATTGTACCCTCTCTGAAGATAGATTAAAGGAACAATTGTTATTAATTTAGTATAACATGGCTTGGATAAAATCACCATTTATGCTGAGCGATTCAATCCTGCCTTTTATGATATCCATCCCACTTGACTTTACTCTTAACATTTACTTTGACAGTACAAGTGACCAGAGGTCACTGTGAAAAGAAAATAGTCTTAACTGGATAGTCAATAATTGGAACTACACATTATTAATTAATCAGATCAGAGTAGATCACTATTAGGTCTTGTTTTTGTTACAACATGTGTGTCCCTCTCCCCCCCCTCCCACTTTTGCACACACAGGGCATGTCTACACATGCATATTAATGTGACGTAATAAACTCCAGTGCATATTGCACCACAGTTTATTGCTTTGGGGTCTGGATTTACAAGAGCACCTGGGAGTGCAGCATGTTGAGCTGGGCTGGAGCAGCCCTGGCTGGTAGGGGCCCCAGGAGGTCAGCCAACCATCCTGGGGCTGCTCCTACCCAGGTCAGCGTGTTGGGAGGGCTGGTTGGGGCATGAAGGTACTTTAGTACGGGGCTAGTTGGCAGGCAGCCCCTGCTCTGAAGCACCCTTGTGCCCCAGCCAGCTGCATCAGCATCTACACATGCAGTATTGCAAAGTAAAAAACTCTGCAGCAGGACAGTACTTGTATTTACAAATACTACCCTGCTGCAGAGTTTATTAGCTTACTCCACCTTAATAGTCTTGCATGTGTAGATGTTGAGACGTTTACTGCAGAGCTAATTGGCAACTCTGCAGGAAATGTCTCATGTAGATGTGCCCACAAACACCCAGTTTCTGAAAAAAAATAAATAGCAAGCAAAATACAGTCTTGAAGAAACAAATTGCTGACTATGAAGAATAATTTCCGGATTTCTCTCTAAAACATTCCTCAACCCATCAAGATAATTCTCTTCTTTCTTTCCTAATAATTTGAAAGAAAATTGACTAGGAATACCACCCTCTCTCCTAGGTATATATCATGACACATCCTGAATTATAAGAGAAAATTAAAGTATTTTTATCCTTGGCCCAGAGGTCAGAGACAAAGGCAGGGAGGGAAGGGAGAGAAAAAAGACAAAGGTTCTCTTGAACGTTTATCTGTCTATTTATTCATGTTAGCCAGAGGCAAAAACTTCTAACGACAGCATCCTTTAAAGAAATAGCCCTTTTAGCTTCTTTAATATTTTTAAGGGTGCACATGCCATTTCTGAAAATATAATTGTTATACCAAGCCACTTATTAAAATTTTTTTCTTTTTAAAGATAGCGAATGCTGTTATATGAAGTACGGTTCTTGGTTTACCCTAAATTACTTAACTTTCTATCTATCTATGACCTTCAGCCAGTTATTATATCTATTTATCTATCTATCTACATAACAGCATCTTTATCCAAATCAATGCATAATAATCTTGCCATGATTTTGTGAAGTACTAATCAAATGTTTTATTACGTACAGCTATAAATATGATATAGACATACATTATTATGTTTATATCTTTCATGTAAGGTATATTTGTATATAGGGCCCTACAGAATTCATGGTGGAAATGGGCTGTACTGCAGCTCCTTTAATCTTGCAAGATTCCTCTGCATGCCTCCCCTCACCGCTGATTGGTGGAAGGGCCCTGCTTGCAGATCACTCCTGATCAGCAGGGAGGTGAAAACCATGGTTTTAAACATGACGCTGTTTTTGCCTCCAGCCACTGATTGGCTGAATTGCAGAGAGGCAAAAACAGTGTCATGTTTAAAACTGCAGTTTCCCATCCCTGCCAATCAGGAATAAGCTGCAAGTAGGCCACTCCACCAATCAGTGGCAGGGTATGTGCAGGGGAACCTGCAAGATTAAAGGAGCTGCAGCACAGTGCACTTCCACCATGAATTTAGTAGGGCCCTATTTATGTATAGCAAGAATAACATATATAACACACATAAAGGCAAGGTTCTTTGAGTAGATCTTTTATTAGACCAACTGAGTTATTGAGAAAAAGTTCTTAGCAAGCTTTTGGGTGCAGTCACCCTTCCTCAGCCATAGGAAGTCTCTGTTGTTCTGAGACTCCAAGGAACGAGAGAAGCTTGGAATTCCTTGGAAGCTTCTTTCATTCCTTGGCATCTCAGAACAGCAGAGACTTTCTATGCCTGAAAAAGGTGACTGCGCCTGAAAGCTTGCGAAGAATTTTTTCCCAACTACTCAGTCGGTCTAATAAAAGATATCACATCTACTTAAACAACCTTGCCTGCCTATGTCCTTAGACCAACATGGCTACAACCAAAAACCCAGCATACACACACACACACACGCACGCATGCACGCACACTCATTTTGGTAATACGTTACTTTTATTAGATCAGCAAAGGATTTAATCAGTATGACAGATCATAACTATAGATCTAAATATATGTATATATTCATATATATGTAATAATTGTTACATATGTATACTGTTACATATATAACCGATATAATAGATATATAACAAATTATATAAACAATTTATAGATAGATACACCCACCCATACAAGAGTTACACCCACATACACACACACACACACACACACACACACATGAATGAATAGATACATATATTTAGACCTATAGGGCATTTATACACATGCTCTGGGAGGGGGTGAGAATACTTTAATTAGAGTGGCTCCAAAAGCTGCTGTAATTAAAGCACTCCAAGTGTCACATGTATCAGCATCCCCATGCTGAAAAAATGTTGTTGGGGGTGCTTTAACTAAAGCTGGTCAAACAAGGTTTAAAGTGCCCCTGCCACCTTTTTTCAGCACAGGGACACTGATACACATGACACTGGAGTCTGCTGGAGTGTAGTAATTGCCATGCTCATCAGAGCAGCTTCACTGCACATGTATAGGCACCCCTACCTATGATATGTCATACTGATAAAATCCCTTGCTGATCTACCATATTACCAAAATTAGTAAGCATGCTGCTCTGCCATGCTATGTTCTTTATCCTGTTTATTGCAGTTACAGCTCTCTCTGGAGATTAAATTCACCCTAGTGAAAAGGGCTTTGACAGAGTCCTCCATCCAGTCACTCTGGGCTGATTTAGTGGGAGTTGTGCCTCAGAACAGACTAAGGAAACTCTGATCTCAGAACTGGGTCTAATTGTTTTTTGAAAAATAATATACACTGGGTACATCTACTTGAGATGCTTCACTGTGTACTAGACTAATCTAATGCACAGTAAAGTGTCGTAATCTACACAGATTAGTCTAGATGGTGCATTAGACTAATCTACTGCAATAGATATGGGTATTAGAAATTGGCACATTAAAGAGCACATGTAAATGCTGATCAGAAGCACATTGCTCCCAGTCAGCCTAGGCAGCAGGGAGCCACAGCAGGTGGGAGAGCTGTTCCGAATGGGTCCAGATCTCCATGTGGCTGAGCGGCAGCCTCCTGACAAGCCATGACAGCCTCCACCCCCTTTCCCCCACTCAGGGCCAGCTTGATCTCCACCTGACTGGGACGGAGCTGCCTGCCTAGCTGCAACAGCTACCCCTAGCCCCCCGCACTCCAGAGCTCAAGACTAAGTGCCCCCTGCCAGCTCAGGGCTGGCTCCCAGGGGAGCATGGAGCTCCTCCTGGCTGCTGCAGGGGGGTACAGCAGGGCAGGAGCAGCCTTGGACTGGGCTGATCCTGTCGGGCTCAATTTGCTCCTGATGGGGGCACACACGTAGTTTTAGCACTGGGGAGCACTTTAATGAGCCTGAATTTTCTGCATAGAAAATTCAGGAGCATTAATTGCATGTGTATATGTGTCCACAGCCAGATAATTTCTTCACAGAGTGCAGAAGAAAAGCACTGGGAAATTCAATGCAGTGTTAAACTGAACACAATGGCTACACTGCCTCCTGTTAAAGCTACAAAAAGTGTGCTGTAATCATGTCCTAGTATTTCTGGGAATTTTCAGGTTTTTTTCCTTAAGTCTGTCAGGTACAATCCTGAAACAAGCAGCTAAATCTCTTAATTAAAATTCATGCCATGTCATCATGTGCCATGCTTCTGTGGTTGCCTATTATGATTTCAATTAAGTGTATAATTTATGAATTTCAAAGGATTAGGTTTGAAAAGGTCTACTGTACTTCACAGATTTCAGACTTGACTTCTACCCTAAATAATCTACTTTTCTCTCTCTTGCTACAGAGAAGATGAATTGTACCTGTCAGCAGGCCCTCCAGGTCTGACACATGTTATTACAACAGGACGAGATTTATTTCTGTCATCATGTGCTCCACCTAGAAGAGAGAAAGCAAGAAACACTCTCATTATATTCTTTTTATGAAAATTCATTTCCAAAGTTCAAGTCCAGAAGTTTGTAGCATACATACTTATAGGTTGGTTAATGAGAGTAAAAACCCAAGTTACACATAAACTGGTGCATATTAGGAGTAATATTATAGTAGCTTATGATGGAAACAGTTTTTTTCTTTAATGCTCATCTAAAATACTATTTCTTAAATAAGTATATTAATTTCTTCAAACTTCCTGATCTCCCAAATTTATTTACTATGTCATTCTCATTACATCCTGGACATTAAAACTCTGTATCTTACAGAGTTTCTCATACAGGGACAAAAGCATGTGCACTCCATCTACACTTAGAACAGTGGATCACTGACCACTAAACAACTCTGTATGTTTTGTAACTCTATATTTTTCCCTATTATATGTCTCAAATACCTGAATTCCTCCCAGGTTATCATCAAAAATAAATACATTTTCTAATTTAGTTTGAGACCTTTCATGCTGCAGCTTGCAGATGTTACTAAACTATAAAATAAATTTCCATACATAATTTATATAAATACAACATTTATTGTATATCTTCTTTAACAGTAATAATCCTATTGCAAAAGCAATTTCCCATTGACTTCAACAGTAGCCAGATTTGGCCTTCTGTGAAATGAATTCTGTTATGTTTTTGGCATATTGGATTCATTACTACCATGCTATAAATACAAATTTAGATTAGTTCATAAAAATAGTATATTAAAATACAGAGATGCCATGAATAAATCACACAAGTTTTTACAAACTGTAAGCAATCAATATTGAAATATGATGGCTTTTTATCATATAAATGTGTTGGCTTTTTGCTTGTATGGATCAAGAAATTCAGACTTATTCACATTTTCACATTCACATTTACTTATTCACATCTTACCTCTTATTACGAACCCAAAAGTGTTCCCTTCTTTATGTAATGTAACTTCCACAGTTCTAAAGATGACACCTGATCCTTGTAAAGCTGAAAAATTAAAAAAAAAGCTTTTTTCTTTCTAATTATACTCATAACTTTGGACTGGTTCTAAGCTAAGCAAGCTGTGATCATGCAATTGGAAAAGTTAAACTGCAAAACAGTCAGTATTAAAGACCAATATTAATTACACTTCATATTCTTCAGAATAATTTGTAGGCCAGTTCTTTAATGGGTGTAAAAATCAACAGAGAACTATATCAATTTATAGCAGCTAAGAGGTCCAGGTTTAAATTATGCTGTAGTTCAGTTTCTCATATATTGTTGACAAATTATAGAAAAATATATACACATAAGTAGATACAGTAGCATGAGGTTGTCAAGTCAAGTACTCAAAGTTACCTAGGGAAGCATCTGCTTAACTCAGAAGCCAAGAATCTTTATTCAAAGGGTATACTCAGGATGCTTAGGCGGCAAATCTCATCAACCTTAAACTTAAACTGTCATATCATCAACCTTAAACTTAATCCCCAACATACATACAGGCTCGGTGGTGACAGCTTGACTTGCACCCTGGCCAAAAGAGATCTAGGGGTAATGATTGATAATCACATGAATGTAAGCCATCAGTGCGAGGCGGTGGCCAGCAGGGCAAATAACACACTGGCATGCATCAATCAACACATCTCGTGTAAAACTAAGGAAGTGATACTCCTGCTGTACTCAGGACTGGTGAGACTGGAGTTTGAGTACTGCGTCCAGTTCTGGGCACCGTACTTCAATAAGGATGTGGGAAAACTTGAGAGGGTCCAGAAAAGAGCTACCCATGTGATCAGGGACTTGCAAGGCAAGCCATACGAGGGAAGGCTGAGGGACCTGGGCCTCTTCAGTCTAACGAAGAGAAGGTTGAGAAGGGACTTGATAGCGTCTTACCGCTATATCAGAGGAGTGCATCAGTTCGGTGAACAACTGTTCACTAGGGCACCCCAGGGAAGACCAGGACCAATGGGTACAAACTCCTGGAAGGCCACTTCAGGCTCAATTTCAGGAAAAACTCCTTCACAGTCAAGGTGTCCAGACTGTGGAATAAATTCCCTCCAGAGGTGGTGCAGTCACTTACCCTGGAGGTTTTCAAGAGGAGACTGGACAGTCACCTCACTGGGGTCACCTAACCCTAGTTGCCTTCCTGCCTAGAGTAGGGGGGCTGGACACAATCATCTGCGAGGTCCCTTCCAGCCCCTAACAATAATTTATATCACGAGGGATGAAGGATATTAGATTCAAAATAACCCTTTATAATTATATCACCTAATCATTAATAAATTAAAAATGCTTGAATAACATTAAAGGCAAATGTTTTGTGCAACACTGCAACAGCAAGCAGCTGTTCCCAGATCCTTGCTGAGAAGGTGAATGAATACTGTAAGATGGTTGAACATGGTAAATGATTTTTACAAGAAATGATGCTGTAGTTCTGAAAAAAACAGGCAGTCATTTTCATTTCAACTCTAATAAAAAAGCAAAATTTTAGGATGGATGGGGAACTGACATTTTCCAAATGGAAAAAAGATAAACTCAATGGAAGAAAAAACAGAACAGAAGAAAACATTTTCAAATTTCCAAGCTTGTTTTATTAGAAAATGCAGAACACAGAAAGATATAAAATTATTTTTAAAAATTACTTGCTACCACTGTTCCATATGAACCTGCAATTACCATTGCTAAAATGTAAATAGTTAAAAGGTCAGAACACAATCAGTAACACCTATACAAATACTTCCTCTCTCTGTGGATGGAAGAGAGAAAATACTGGTACATCCAGAGGGTGGGGGGGGCGGGGGGGTGGAGAGTTAGCCCTACTTCTCATTTCTTTGAAGCCTAAAGGATGGGTTCTCTGAAGGTCAAGAGATGCAGGCAGGATTGGGATTACTAATCTCTGTCAGACTGTCTGTCACAAGGGTTTGTGCACAAATTAATGTTGACTCCATTGTTATTACTTTACTGAAATTTCCCTAGAAACTCACCTACTCTTCTCAGGGAGTAAGCTGGCCCTGGAGGAAACAATGCAAGCTCAGCATAATTTGGAGGATGA